TCCTCTCCCTCCTCGACACGTGGAGATGCGTCTGGGAGATAAGGAGGCGTGGATTATTACGGGCGGGAAAGCGGCCGTTTTGTGGTGCGTCGGCTGTTCGGGTCCGGTCCCGCCGCCACGCACCGCCTGCTATTTTATTCAACGTAAAATGGGCCCTTAATCTACGGCGCGTCCGATGAAATTGCTTTTTCACCGATGTTTGTTGTGATTTTCGGGCAATTCCTCCCGGCTGCTTAATCGATGCTCCCGAGCAAGTTTATGCTTTACGAGGCTTGCATCGTCACTAATATTTGAAAATACTTACGAACAATCTCTTATGGCGCTCGCCAGCCCCATTGCCAGGGGATTTCTTAAAGAGTCCTCGACGAACGAACTTCAACGTGTCCACTCAACCTTACGCACTATTTGCGAGCCGTGGGAGACCGTAGTGGTGGGACGGGCAGGTGAAAATGAGATCAAACTTTCGTTATTAATCGACTGCCAATGCAAACTTGTCGATCAATCATTTTCACAAACGCAGACTAATGCGTTCGCCTCATACAATACATAATGGCGCCTAAAGTGTTTTTACTGCAACGTGCATAAATGCGCAAGTATATGTGCACGCAGGTGCGCATGTTTAATATTAGACAGATTGACTGTTACGATAAAAAAAACTGCGGACGTTATTTATCAATAAAATAATAAAAATATCATTACTTAATGGGAAAACTATTTTTTTATTTGCGAACGTTTCGGAGTTATTGAAAACAAAAAAAAAAAAAAAAAAAAAATCCGGAAATATCGTTTTAATCCAATTATTTATTTTTCCCATCGACCTGGAGGAATAAAAATTCAATGGTAAATAATACGAATATAAACAAAAAACAAAAACAAACAAAAAAAAACATCTTAATTATTGTAGGATCTGAAAACTAGTTATCGCGTTGTTGCAAGTTATTACGTGACGTCGCATACCGTTATTCGTGTGATCAATTTAATGCTGTTTACAGTCGCAATGCGGTTATCGGAGTTCGTTAAAACTTGAAATTCGATTTATCTCGCACGACAGGCCTTTTCAGCTTTTCGAAAATTGAACTTTTCCCTCCTACATTTCTCGTTACATTTTCCACCAATGTTTCTATCTCTCCTCTATTTGCCCGAAGAAATAAAGTGCCTTTTCAGCTGTGAGTAGGTCGTGGTCGTTGGCGATTTAGTTGTACTAACCAAACTACCTATCCCATGTTACATAATCAAAGGCCTTTATGTAACGTAAGATGTGTACAAATACATACTACCGAAGCATCGAAATAAATAAACTAATTCTTGTTTCGATAAATACAATTGAAAATATAACCCTAATAGTGCGCGATAAAGTTCTTTGATGCTCCTGAAAACTTGTTTGTTCATCGACTAAATAAAATTTGTCCTTGACCCTAGATGACAACCGACGATAAAAAAAAAAAAAAATCCATTCTCATAATCCGCTTTCTGCATCTGAATAAGAAGAACAAACCTATAATCCCTATGTACTTAGAACGACAGGAAAAGGGTTGTATTTATAAATGTTTTTTTTTTTCATCTCTTTCTATAATTCGACTCTAATCTCGATCTTGAAACGTTTTTCCGGGTTAGCTGTCCCCAATGCTCGTCTCCTCGGCTTTCAAAGAACGCACGAACTTGTCGACCGAAACGGAAGAGCCGAGCAGCATCAACCGAAAGATTTCAAATGCGATTTCAGCTGGCTGTGTATTATTATCATTATCATTATTATTATCATTATTATTATTATTATTATTATTATTATTATTATTATTGTTGTTGTTGTTGTTGTTGTTGTTATTATCATTATTGTTATCATTATTGTTATCATTATTGTTATTATTATTATTATTATTATTATTATTATTATTAGTAGTAGTAGTAGTAGTAGTAGTAGTAGTAGTAGTAGTAGTAGTAGTAGTAGTAGTAGTAGTAGTAGTAGTAGTAGTAGTAGTAATAGTAGTAGTAGTATTGTCGTTGATGTTATTGTTATTATTATACGGCTGTTCGGAGGCGCACGCACACAACGCAGCGGGAAATTCGAAAGTAAAGTCGATTTTTATGCCTGGCTTTTTATGTAAGGATTCGATATTCTTGGCGATAAGATTGTGACCGAAAGGATTTTTTTTCTCCATGTCCTACCTTACGGCACACTCGTATATCAAAACGAACGCTCGGAAATGTTGAAAGCAGCGGCTGCTTCATCGATTGTCTCGACCATGTCTCCACGACGACCCCTACGCGCAATAAAAGAAACAGCATCGACGAAGGACCTCTTAGCTATTATTAAAACCGTATTTACGATTGATTTCGAAACAAGACGATACCTAATACACGTATTCCTTCGTGTAAAGCCCACGTAAAAAGGGATCGCGCACTTATCTCCTTCCGCCCGGACGCTTCGCTTCGTCTACGCTATTTTTCCGATCGGTGGACAAAAAAGAAACAATAAAAAACAACTTAAAAAAGAAACTTTAAAAAAAAAAACCAAGCAAAACGCACACGGCTATATTATACACATCGATATCCTTTAAACCCGATAAGTATCAACTACGCAACTGCCGAAATCTTGCTGTGGCATTGCTCCCGGCCAGTGCTGGAAAAAAGTTTCTCTCACGGCTCCTTCGCCTCAACGTCTCACCAAGGAAAAAAAAATAGACGCGAGCCAAGGGTAACAACAATGGCCCGGTCGTGCATACGCGAGCCGAAGGTGCAAGATGGAGTTCTAGCCGTATCGCCGGAGATTGAGGAAAGCTTCGGCCGAGATTCTACCGTCCTGGGATTACGTAAAAAAGGTTAAGTCCCGGGGATTGCATATCGTGGGCCAGATGGCAGGCGCAGTACTTTCTTGGACGACGGGACGGGCGCATTTACCTCCCGAGGGACCTCGGCTCGTAATACCGGCCCGGACCAGGAGGAAGAAAGGGTGGAGGAGGATATAGAGACGGACAGAGAAGCCGAGGAAGAATGAAAGGAGAAAGAGAAAGAGAGAGAGA